TGTTCCACAAAGAAAGGTAGCTCATAAAAATGTCTGTGGCCTGGGTATTGTGGGCTAACAGCTGTCAAGGCATAATAACAGTTAAATTAAAGTTGACTTTGGACACTAAGCATCTTTGAAGCAGCACAGGCTCTGAATTTCTGTATTAGATAGAAAAGCCAATGGTCATCAAGAAAAAAAAAAACACTACAAATTGCATCATCAGTGTCTATTGGGAGGAATCAACAGCACTTAGTAGGTGCTCAGTAAATATTGGCTGACAGCTGACATGGCTACAATTTCATGATTTGGACTTTGAACAGAGAGGCCCTAGTCCATTCAGAGCGAGCTTTCTGCTCGTGTAAGTCACGCCTTTTCTACTGTTAGCCTACGGTAAAAATAGCTTTGACTCTAACCTCACCAAATATAAACATTACCGACGTAATCATTCAATTTGTATGAGAAACTGCTCGTCCCCCAACGGCTAAGTCACAATCATGCTGTGGAATTTAGTCCTGAGCCTCCAGTGACAATGGCAGGGAACATGTTCATAACAATAATAAGGGCTTGTTTTAATAGAACGTTCCACACTGAACACATTAATGACCCATGAAATAACTGGTTTATCTTAACACATTAAGCAACGTGGCTGAAACAATGTATTAATTGAAAATCTGCTATTTCTCATAATGGAAGTCTTTTTAAGTGCAAAAATGGCATGGAAGTCATCTTGTAAAATCAAAAATAACTCAACTTCAAAATTAGAGCCAAAGGACTGAATGAAAAATAAAAACTTCTAAAATAAGCTGGGTGATCTTAGATTTATTATTGTGATATCTCCCCATTTCTCTGATCACCAGTGATATCTGTCTGGATGATGACTTAAGAGTCTTGTGAATATTTTAAAAGCTTATCATTTTCATTTCTGCACGTGTCTCCGATAGGCTCTGTTCCCTCTCTTCTTCTCGTGCCTTAACTCCCTTACTTCCATCTTCTTCAATTTTCAAATACTGTGTTTGATATTCCTAGAGCACCAGGATAGCTTTTTCTATCACAATTAAATCCAAAGCAGAATCAAACCGAAAACATCCATGCCTCTAAACATGCAATATAATGTATGAAGAAAAAGTATGTGAATTATCAGTGTGTTTTTTATAAATTCACTTTTGGGGGCATACAAAATATCAGACTAGAGACAATTATTTTACTGTCTGTTTCTTGGCTATCAAAGAGAATTTTGAAATTCATCAAAGCTAACCTTCTGTTATGTACAACAGGCTAAGCTGAAAAGAATGTTAACAAGTTCAATTTTCATTCAATCAGCACTACTGCTCTCTGAAATGTTTCATTGCAGGAAAGAAATAAAAATAATCTATATGGTAATTATGAGGATGAATCCCCCAGTAACTTTCAGCTACATGAAAGGTCAGTTCTGTTCAAGATATTTTATCAGTCCCCTGCACATACTCCTGTCCTGTCATTTTAAATCTGAACAGCATTTTATTTTCCCATTTACAGCTACCTGCAGAATTAAGTACTTAAGCCAAATAAGAAAAAAAAAAAGAAATGTTGAATGCTGGCAAAGGCTATAATAGCATAGAGATAAATCGTTCAGCTGCTCTCTCTCAAGCCTCTAGGGCTGCAGATTTTTCTTCTCCTGGTGCACTGTGGGTATTCAAAACTTGTTCAACATGATTTCATTTCATTTCAGGCACTGCCTGAGAAAACTAAATTACAGAATCAATCATACAGAAGGTCAGAGTGAGACTTCATTACAAGTATTGCATGCTTGCATGAATATCTTTCATTTATGACTGACCCAATATGTCACAATAGCTGTCTAGTAAAAATAATCCACTTTCTGAAATTGATGTACTGCTGATGTCAATGCTAGTCAGCAGGCCGGGCAGATTATAGAGAGGTGTTAAAAAAAAAAAAAATCCTTTGGAGCGCACATTGTAGATTTTTAGAATTGTAATCTTTTGTAGATTAAAATAATTTCCAGATGATCATCTGAACTGACAATAATGCTCAGAGCTAGAGAATTCTGCACCAAAATACAGGATTGATTTCGACAGGCTAACCACATCCTGTTTAAAAATCCACGTTCCCACAACAAGCAAATCAAGGTTATTCTTTGAAGTCACGAAGGCATCGACGTTCAATTTTTCACCAATTCGGTTTGACTGCTAAGGCATTATTTGCATATTTTGAAATGTGAATTCTAATCATGGGACTCATTTTAATCCCCCTTTTTTTGTTCCTGCTTTCTTTTTTTAAGGATAATGGCATAAATTTCAGGAAGATAAACATGTTGTGCTTGTTGCCAACAAAAAATGCAGCTAATCAGTAAGGTGACAAACTGTCACTCTTTCTAAAGGCAAACCAACGAAGCTCTGAAGGAAAGCTGCTCCCACACAACACCGAGTCTCTGGCTTTCTTCTTCCAGGCTCGCCTTAATTCACACAGCCCTCCTTACCAGACAGCCATATTCATTTGGATAATAAAACTTCTCACTTGCATAAGGGAGGAAATATCCATTGCGCACTGGGAAGCCGAATGCATGATGTATAAAGTATTATTTATTATTTTCCTGGTGACCTTCCTCAGGGAAATCTCCGAGGAGCTGCTGTGAAGCATTATGAGGTAGCCAGCCTCGGCGGTACCCGGAGGGAGATATAGAAGAACCTTGACACAGCCTATTTTTAACCATGCCTCTGGCGATTCTGAATTCAAGTTTATAGGTGAACATGTCAGGTAGTACATAGAACAAAGCCAACGACACATTGTATTCATCATAATTCTGTCCTAGTACATTTTATTTTTTTCCAGTATTTGTGATTTAAAATCCCATGACATTTCTTCAAGGTGAAATTCGACTCGAATTTTCAACAAGATTAGCTTGTTTCCAGCCAAAATAAATACCATTCAGGTTCAGCAGAACTTTAGAAAGGCACCAATAAATGTGACGAGGTCCATGTAAATACCATGATGACAGCTGCACTTAGCTGAAGTACTCATACTTCTAAAAAAATCAATGAAATCATTCCACTGCTTTTGTGATTAGCAATACATTACCCCCCAAAAAAAGCATTAAAAATTGAGTCCTCTCTTCCAACGCCGGTCCGTGAAAGCATTGTTCTTTAAGTGTATGTGAATATCATAATTATTTTATGATTCCATCTTTAGTTCTTTCCAATATAGTAAATTCAATTGACCATGAAATGAAATTTCATAGTCAAAATGCCTCCTTTACACTTTTTTATGGCAGCAATAACAGTTTTATAGCTTTAAGGCAAGGTAATTCATCAGATGTTTAATTTAAAGGCAGATTCTTATATTATTAATAAATATTTACCAATTTAATAAAGTACACATTTTTGCATGCATTATATGGTCTTTTAACTATTTCCACAACTTCAATGAGCCTCGCCAAGCATCTATGAATAATGGGGAACCCTGGCAAACATCCCTGGTGACTAAACATCCTTTTTATTTTTATTATTTTCCAGGCACAACGCTACAAGCCTGGCTGTAGCGGAAGAGAGGACAGAACCCTCCATTCCAGTGTCAAAGGGACAAAAATGTAAGACAGTCCACCGGAAACAATTATTTGCGATGGCGAGGAACACTTATGAATAATTAATGACCATTTCCCGACTGTTCACTGCATTCTTTTCTGACAAAAAAAGTAAAAAATAAAAACCCTGATGTTCAGCTCCAACACAAAAGATCACAGGCAAGGAAAATGGTGTTGCCGCAATCCTATTTGAGAAAGTAATCTTATATTTCAGAGAGCACGCTGAATCTTTGTACCACTAATCCACTACATATTCTGCAATCTTCTGTTGTTATCTGGGGAATTAACAATGAAACCAATAAACATCACTAGCTTGGTCCTAATGTGCAGAGAAATATGTAAACAAGCAATAGGATTTGTTTTCTGTTATACCAACACATCTGTTTCATTTTATCAGGGTTGGGGGGAAAAAAAAGCTCTATAAACTATTAATCTTGTTTTTAAATGTCTGCTTATTTCCTCACCTAGATTGACACAAATGCACGATATACTATGGTGGAAAAAAAAAAAAAAAAAAAAAAAACAATCCCAGCAGCAGAGTTTAAAATACTTAAGCAGATTTACTCTGGTGATTGCTGGCTGCATACTAAGAAAAACAGAACCAAAATTATTGCATTAGTAATCTCGGCTCTCTGGAGTGTCTTATCCGATGTTTACGACAATAAATAACACAATTAGGTATATTTCACATAGTAACCCTCTCTGCATTTTCCTCTGCTGGTTATGAGCAATTATTCTTTTTCCCTTTCTCTGGATCACAGTTTGATATTTCATTTGAGGGAGAAGCAAATCATGTCTCCTCTGCGTTACGTGATAATCCAACAAATGCAAGAGACCTAGACACTGATAAGGGTTTTCATTTCGAAAATCTCTCCTGGGCAAACTTTCAAGTCAAGTACACATCTGTGAGGCCAAAGGCAAGGGAAGATGGCTTCGAAACCAATGAATCAGACTTCTCAAAACTGGCTTCAAATCGGAAAGATCCTGTTGGACATAATCTTTCCCGGGACTGTCAACCCAGCCAACGCCCTCACAGCCAATACAGGGACTGATCTAACACCTCAACTTGTTTGTTTGCTTATTTAAGTCACGTGGTTGACCACACTGTATATCACGTGATCCAGGTGCTGTCCCCACACCACGCCCACCACCAAGACACCTACTGTCCTCCACCCCGGTCCACTGTGCCCACTCCCCACTCTGCTCACCCCGGTCCCCTCCCCGCTCTGGCAGCTTTAATCCCACAGTCAGATTTTTAGAGTCTGTTAGTGGTTTGGCGTGGAAGACAGAGAAGTAACACCTGCTCCTAAGGGACACTCGGAAGAACACGCCGCACATCCGTGTGTGGAGGCCGAGAACATGCTCAGACATGCGTTCTCAGGTCTGCACCAGAAGGGCAGAGAAACAACAGAATACTTGGAAGCAATAATGTGTCGCCTACCATATGCAGCCCACTGCTATGAAGCACGCCATCTTGTTCCACGAGGTTTCTTGAGATTGTAATGGAAGGAAGATCCAGGCTTTGAGGGGGAAACTGAGGCGTGAATTCACTTCCCTGGGAAGGCAACGGGTCGCTGAGGCCTTGGAAGGGCAGGAGGACATCGGGCATGCCCAGGGCGGGGTCTGACTCCGGAGGAGGCGTAATGGGGGGGATCTCAAACTCCTCATCCCCCAGGCTTGGCGTATGGAATGTCTGCTAAAAGGAAACACAAACACAGACATCTCCTTATTCCAGCCCTCCATCTGATTTCTCGTTGGAGGGAAAAAACAAAGATTTTGCATGAAAACATGATATAGCTAGGGCAAATATTTATTTCTCAAATGAAAACATCTTAAACACAGATTTCCATATATAAAGTTTTGCTGATCATTCTGATTAAAGATTTAAGTCTCATTATCATATGGTTTTAATGGAGTATCAGTATTAACAGTTTTTTAATGCGTACTTAATTAGCAACATCTGTCTTTGTTGTTAGTTGGAGCATCAACGACATTAGATTTGGCTATATAACAAATTGCCACTTTATTGATATGTTAGTGAAACAGCTCAAACCGCTTACATTATCCACATGCTTCATAAAATGCTGACGATTCTGTGATGCACATACACACACATTAGCACAGACGTGAACATTGCACATATTTACTTTCTGCCACAACAGATTAAACAAGTCATATGAAATCTGTGGTTTGCTTTTTAATTTTCCTTATTGGTATTTTCGCAAGTACAATGAATATGTCTACAAAAATTGCTATTTTTGTCATACAATGTTTTAGGTAAGGGTTATCAGGGTATATGTTAAAAGGCCCCAGTGGTTTTATTTGAACTCTGAGTTTTTTTCTTTCATAAGAAGGTTTTGATGTGTCTTTACATGTCTTCAACTTTTAAAGATAGTCAATAGAAGATCAGAGAGAGACATGGGCAGAGATAAAATAACATCTTATGTTGCTCTCTTACTTACACAAATGTATTTTCTCAAGACCTAAGTAAATAATGCGCAGTTTTTCTTCACTGTTACTCAGGCTCTAAAAATGGTGTTTTATAATAGAGTCTTTAATGTAAATCAGGCCTGCCATCTTTCTTATAACTGAACTTGGACTAGGGGTGAGGTCAGGTGGGGGGAGAGAGTTATGTCAAGGATTTATTTTTCGGTTAGGGAGTCAGTCCAGTATTTTCTTCCCTAGCTCAGAGGGTCAACATTGTAGTTCATCATACTATTTTTTAAAGACTGCATTGGGGTAACATAATTTGAATCAGCTATCATTGGTGAAGAGAAATAATTAAGAGCTGAAAATCATCATTCTTCAAATTATCAATGATGATATCACTTAATAACCACTTTAAAAAATAGAAACAGGGTCTCCCTGGTGGCCCAAGGGGTTAAGTCTCAGCTCTATGAAGAAATTTGCAACCAGTGCAGTATGAGTTCAATCCCCGGCCAGGGAGCTGACCCACATGGCACAACAGACCTCTCCTGTCTCCCCACTGCTCCCTCAGCAGTGGATTTCAGTAGATCCTCCTGTTCTGTTCCCCACTTTGTCTCTGGTGAATCCTCTCACCCTCTGTCCCTCTGGCCTGCACCCCAGCTCTCGTACGCACAAATAAATCTTTTAAAAAATTAAAACCAGAGGGCCTCTCCTGGTGGCGCAGCGGTTGAGCGCCGGGCTGCAAAGTTGCTCGCAGCCTCTGCAGCACCAGTTCGATCCCCAGCCACCGGCGAGGGTCCCACATGGCGCGACAGACTTCTACTGCTGTGCCCGCTGCTCCCCTCAGCAGTGTATTTCGTCAGTCTGCCTGTTCTGTTCCCCACTTCGGCTTTGGTGAATTCTCTCACCCTCCCTTGCTTCTGACTGTACCCAGTGCTTGTATAAACAAACAAACAAATAAATAAATAAATCTTTAAAAAAAAAATTAAAACCAGAAACAAACTCAAAAAAAAAAAAAAAAAGAACAAAACAAAACAAACCCTTCCTTGCATACAGAACCTGTCAACTATTATTTGTAGCTTGCCAGTAAGTAAAGAGGACACGAGGTAGTGGAAACCATGGCGAGACATCTGAACACCTGCAGGTCTCACAGCTAATTGCATTCAGGATATGTAAAACCTTATAGCACAATAACCCGTTTGAAGGCTAGAAGGAAATACGGGATTCTTGGACATTTATTCTAATAAGGACCCCGAATATGTCAACTTCTTCCTGCAGCACCCCGAGTTCTCAAACACAAAGGGATGAATTGGCCACAAACGTGGTTGGCTAATGAACGTAACCCTATGGCTGCATTTGCTGTTATTTTGGCACTAATGTGGTCTAGTAACAGATGCAACTGTAATTTGTGACTCATTTGCTACCCCATTACTGCTTAATGAAATCTAACATATCACATTAACAATACGGATAAACACTCATTCTTGATATGTGGCATTTGGCTGTTTTCATTACCACTGTAATTAACACTTGAAATATTATTTCAATAAATATTTAAAGTACTTTAAAAATGGTCAGGGTAATCATGACACAGACAGAAAACATAAAGCAAATGTGTGAATTTCAAACTCAAGTATCCTGGTCCCTGTAGTGTTATCCACGGGACCATATCTATGGGAAGGGAATTGGTTTCAGGCACAATTTCGACTTTACAGCATTCAAACCAAGTCTCTCTGAATTAGTTTGCACTCATTAAAATGTTTTAAAAAACACACAAATAAATTTACTTTTAATGCAGTGACTGGGAAAATAGGCACATGCTATAATACCGCGCATTCACGTTTACTCGGGCTTTATTTTTTGGTACAAGGAAAGCTGTAAATTCCCTGCACAAAACCACCTCTTCCACATAAAGCATAGGCAGTCAAAACTAAGGGAGTTTTCACTTTTAATTTTGTTAAGAACTAGCGCTGTCATATCTAAAATATCCCCACAGTATACTTTTACAAAAGACAGACTTTTAAGTTCAAATTTAGTCCGTGACTATATTACCACCTAATAAAACAATAAAATAAAATTATATTCTAATATATAACCAAGAAAATGCTAACATCGTAAACCACTTTTTAAGAGAGGTAACATGTTAAATGTAAGTTAAGTATTCCTTAGAGGAAAGAATAACCCAAATCACTGGCTGGCTGAGACGATAAAAATAACCACGTCTGGCATCAATAACTAACAAAAATAACACTGACGCTGGCGACTGCTGGATGACCAATATCAGATTTATCATTTACAGTTTCTATGATTACGTTTTTACAGGGATTGACTTTTCAGTGTTTACCTTGAACATGTTAAAGTAGTATGCACATGGTTAAATACCATCTGTACTGAAATGTTCAAAACATTTGTTCCTTTTGATAAAAATGCAAATCTGGAGAACTGTTGTATCAACATATAACAGCCAATGTCTGACACGGTGAATTATCACAGCTGGAATTAAATTGTCTCTGAACAGCTGCTGGCAGTAGAGCTTTCATCAATGTTTGATTCAAATGTAGGGGAAAAAATCCTACAGAATGAAACATCGTGTTGTCCTTACAGATGGGGTTTGTGTTCATTATCACAAACAACACAGCAGCCCATGCCAAACAATATTCCCTTATCTCCACTGTCTTCTTGCTTCGTGAGATGATGGTCATTGCAAAAATGATTAATCCACGAAGACCCTTAATTCGCGATTCCTCATTTTTTTTTTTTGATAATTTCTCAGAGTTAATTTCTTTCATACCACTTGCTTCCCTGTACCAAGATCATTTACGAAGCCATTATGATTTTCATTCTCTGGGGTCAAACTAGTTCGGTTTCCCACATTTGAATGTATTTGGAAAATGAAGACTTTTTATTACAGGAACCACAAGAGGAAATGTTCCATTTGGACCAGTTTCACTGCTGTGTGTTCTTGTTTGAAAATCTTAGATCTAACCCAATTTACCACTTTTAGGAAACCATTTTCTTGATCTAATCAAGATCAAGTTTTTTCTGGAGGGCAGGCCAGGGAGGCCAGACAGGAGTCCTAAGTTAGTAACAACGAAAACAGTAACAAGACCTTTGTTCCATTTGCGCCTGGAAACTGCATTCAAGCCAGAGTCCACTCAGAGGACTCGCCTTTCAGATTCTACCCCTCAGTTTCCCCACTGTGACCACGTCTGGGAGCACACCTATGCCCCCGCTCCATAAATATGCAGTGAGCACCCATCATGTGCCAAGCTGTGTTCTAGGCTGTGGGTAAACTGACAAAAACCAAAACACTCGTTTCCCATCACACCCACCAAAGGCCAAAAAACCCTAATGCTGTCCTGCCGTGCCAATTCCCACACCATGGCAACTCAAGAAAATTATCTATGCCCAGAGACGTGTGAAATCAAAATATTTTCTACTAAAAGTCACTTGCAGCCTAGTTTCCAAAATAATCACGTATCTACTTAGATATCAATACAGCCTGGATAGATACAGAGCTGTATCTACAGAGGGCTACCCGGGTAGATTTTAAGTTCTTATGTTTCTTTGTTTGCATAGATGACGTTTTCAGCAAGAGGGCTGAGTGAAAGATTAACATAAGTAACTGCCTATGGACAAGTGATAGAGATTTGTCAGGTTTTCTTTTCTTTTTTTTTTTTTTAAGATTTATTTTTATTTATACAAGAACTGGGGTACAGGCCAGAGGCATGAGGGTGAGAGAATTCACCAGAGACAGAGCAGGGAGCAGAACAGGCAGACGGACCTAAGACACTGCTGAAGGGAGCAGCGGGCGAGGCAGGAGAGGTCTGCTGCACCATGTGGGTATCTCCCCAGTTGGCCGGGATTGAACCCCCTCCACAGAGGCTGTGGACAGCTTCACAGCGCTGTGCTCAACCCGCTGTGCCACCGGGGAGGCCCAGGTTTTCTTTTCTAACAGGCTTTTCTTACTTCTCCAATGTCGTTACCTCATGCCACTGAAGAGAGAGAAATTCAATACTTTGCTTTTCCCTTCAAGCCTTTTAAATGATCTAAATAACACACCAAACATGAACAGACACATGAAGACAGACACCCACCTCACTGGCTGCAAAGAAAGCGTTGTTTGCCTCGGCCATATTCATGTAGTTATTGTTATTTCCAAACTGAAAGAAAACAGAATGTTTTGTATTAATAGGCAGCAACACAAAGAATTGTGGTGGGTGACTGAATACTCAGATGGGATTTGGAAGGGATGCTGGTGTTGGGAGATAAAAGGGTGGCTCTACTCAGACCGAATGTGAACTATGACAGTCGAGAGCACTCTGCTCCCCACGGCGGCCGGTCCCTCAGAAAATAGAGCACAGAGTTAAGCTAACTCGATCATTCTAGAAAATAGTGTTGTTTTTCATCAAGACTAATAGTGAAGGCAGACGATTACAAACACTTGGCCAACTGGTCACTGGTGAGTGTTGTTTATTGAACTGGCATTTGTCAGAAGTTAGAAGGAAAAGAGTTTCCAAGAAAATCACCTTGACATGTTTTTAAAGCATGTTGGGATTTCACAGCTTACTTTCCAAGAACAGATGTCACAAGTGTGGGGAGGTTAAAATGTGAATTAAAGGGAATAGAATTCAATTCCCAGGACTCAAATTCTATCTACTAGTGAATGGGGTGGGGCATGAATATAAATAAATAGGAAGACTAAAGAACATTTTAAAATCTCCAAACAGAGCTTAAAACTCTATCGATGTCCATCAGAGCTGTTGAAAACAGTGATATTTAATCTCTCAATGTAACATTAAGTGCAAAGAGGTTTAAAAAATAAGCAGGATCCTATGAACACAGCAATTTTTAGTTAATTCCCTAACACAATGGCCCATTCATTCCATCACAAATAAGACTGTATCAGCATTTCAGACATAAGCTCTTTACTTCTAGAGACCCGTTATCAAAATGTAAAACTTGGATTTTGGCAGAATGTATTTTCAGGTTCAGATGGTATAAGTAGGTACGTTCTGTTGCTTTAAACATTCTGTTATCAGTCTGGTGATGTGGAAAGGCTCTGTGGGCATAATTATCTGGAGCTATATTATTTTCATGGCTTTTAAATGGTAAAAGAGTGGCTGTCTGTTTATGAAGTGTATTATGTCCTTCCTTTAATGCATCAAATAACACACAGGTTTGGTCTCCACAGGGTGAAATGTATATACCTATTCTCTAATATAAATAGAGCCAGTAATTATTTAAAGTAAAAGGTACAATTTTCCCACTGAGAGATAAAGTGAGACAGATGATAGACAAGTAGGTAGGTAGGTAGATAATAGATACAGAGTCTCAGATGATCATAGAAAATAAGCAGAATATATAGAGATAGACACAGAAGAGCCACATAATCCTCCTTTCAATAAGCACACAAACACTTATTTCTGGGGGGCTTTCAGCCCCCGACTCTGAACCTATAACATCCATGCCTGGAAACGGATTGACACACGACCCTTTATCTTGTCAGGGATCCAAGAACTAAGCAGGATTTATACACAAGATCCTGATGGTTCCAGAGAGCTGTTCTGGTCTTCAGAAGCAAAGTCCCACCCTTTGAGTGACATCTAGATATGCAGTAGCACAACGAGTCCTCAGAAAGGTTCCACTGGGCACTCAGATTCATTTGGATACATATCTAAAGATTCCTGAAAGATGTATTTGCCAGCACTTAAGCCCTCTCCCTGGCTTTCAACAGGCCCCCATGGCATCAAAAACATGTGGCAATGGGTACATCAATGCACTTATCTCCAGCTCATTCAGTACACACTGAATACACACAGCTTCTGGGAAGTCCATCACGCCTCTATAAAGTGGTCTGAGAAGAACCTTACTTACTTGGAATCATTTAAAACGTGTGTGCACACGTGTGGGCACACACACACACACACACACACACATATCCCCCATTTTTCTATAACGTTAAACATACGCACCAAAAAACTGAAGGTTTCCATTCTGAAATTTTTCAACCAGTTAATGACCCTAGAAGAGACATCTCAGGCCTCGACTCTGAATGTTCTTTTGGGTATTTACGAGAACCCGGGCTCCCAGTGGCCTCTCACCCACCAATCCTGGCCCCCCAAAACGCCTGGCAGTTGGGATCACGATTTCAATGTTATTTAAATGTAGCTTTTGTTGGGGAATTAGAAATCCATTTAAGGCAAACAGCTCATTATCAGAGAGTATTTTTTTAAGATTAAACTCACTTATTATCTAATAGCACCTAAAACAACAAAGAAAAATAAAATGGCTATTAAACTAAGGGCCTAAACAATTCAAAAAACAAATTAAGCTTAGAGTGAAATAAGAACTGGGTTAGAAATCCTCTTCTGAACAGTTAGTATGCGAATGTAATTACTGAAGAAACTACAGCTAATCAGCTGTGAATTGTATCCATTAATTAGTATTTGCCCTGGAGAAATGAGAAAAATCAGTAACAAGGCTGGCAGCGTGGTGTGCTGAGCCACGCCGGGGCTGCGTTCCGCCAAGCAGGTGGCTTCAGTGGTCCACGTAATTTGAAAAGCTCTCACCTGAAGTACTGAGCTGGAATTACAAAGCACTCCTTGCATATCTTTTGTATCTATAGAAGGCCTTAATTAATGGCTTTTAATTTGGAAACACTTGGCGATCAGGCGGGAACCGTTATAAATCATTTCAAATAGAAGCAAAGGTTTCTATTCTGTTTGAGGCGGAAGATCCCCTCGACAAAGACAGCTTCACACGTGAACTTGTTCCCACAATTGTCGTGTTCCTGTGCAGGTGGCCGGCCCTCTGGCTCAGTGTTGTTGGCTGGTCATAAAACAGGGGACACTCTCTCTTGTATTTTAGTTCAACTGACTTTCAAATAAATGCTGTTTTTTTTTCTCCCTTAAGTAAAGGTATACCCCATGCGGTATTTGGGATATACTTATACTGAAAAAGGAATCTCCGTGTACCTGAGATGCAGATTGACTGGGCGTTGCGTGGTATTTTCACTCGCTCAACTGGCCACCCAGGCTTGGTGGTTGACCTGGTCCGGATGAAAGGTGGTATCTGTTTTACCTTTTCTAGTAACACTAATGTAATTTTTTAAAATTTTAATCCTTGACCTGTGACTCCGGCTGTACTTGTTTGTGTAGGAACAGATCTGATTCTGAGAGGAAAAAATGTGATCCTTTGGGGCTCATCTCTCATATAACGACCTCAGAACAATTAACTTTAACTGAATTGTGTGCAATTAAATTTACTTGATATTCTAAGGGCAGGTGACATCAGCGAACACATCAAAGGGCATAAAAGCCCTGGGCCCACAGGGAGGTCGCCTTGCCTACGTTCACGACTGTCTCCCCAGAGCTACAATGCCTGGCCTATCGGAAGCACGCCAGTGTTTGTTCTAGAGGAGGAGAGAGGGTGAAAGACGGACCACATCCAGCCTCGGGATCTCGTAATGACACATCCTACCAGGAGTGATGTCATCGCTTCGTTCCTGATGGTGACAGTGACAGCGAGGACAATGATGACGTCTTTATCTAATGACACCCTCTATGCACTATTGCATTGCACTTTCCAAAGGGGCACTAAACTTATTTTCCCAACAACCAGTTCAATAAATTATTTTTGGTGTTTTATCAATCAAGAGATGGAGGCTTCTGGGGGGGTGGTCAAGAAACTTGCCCCAAATCACATGGGTGTCGGGCACCCCCACTGCCTCACATTCTGTCTCACGGACACTGCAATTATTTGAATATTCAATTTGAAGACTTTACTTTCACGGATCTTACTCCAAGCCAGGATTTCCCAGGAGGTATATCAAGGTGTCCAAGTTGAGTAAAATGTTCCTGGAGAGAAGGGATCTGGAGCCACAGCCCAGGGAAAGCCTCCAGCCGCTGCCTCTCCTTGTGAGTCAGACATCTTCTCGAAAGTTAAAGGCTTCGAGGAGCCCAGCGGTCTGCTCACTCGGCTTAAATTTAAGTGCCTACTATGTGCAAGGCACCGCAGACAAAATGGTCAACAAAAAGACGACCAGTTTCCCATCTGGGTGGAGCTTGCAATTTTCTTTAAGTGGGAAACAGAAGCCGCCCCCCATCCAATATCCAATGGAAACACACTTTGGGGAGCCTGCGGCAAGCCCTTCCTTGACAATATGCTTCTGTTTCCCCTGAAATCTTATATAACAGCTAACATGCATTTCACATCCATGCATTCCCGAAAGCTGCTAACTATGAATTTCTGAAGGATCCATTCAGGCTGCCTTGCTTGGGGCTCCTTCCAGACTTTCTAGACCAAAGCTCTTCATGGATATTCCTTCAAAGATCTCCCACTCAACCAAAGAACGTTCTCTGCTATTTCAAGAGCAAAACAAAACACTATTTCAAGAGCACTCAACGCACGTCAGGTGAGCTACAGGTAAGCGATCTGAAGAGCACGTAAAAACATCATGGAGGAAACGGGCCGATGCCACCTGTTTTAACGAGCGAATGTATCTGGGGAAGGAGCCAAGTAAGGCAGAGGCGTTGCTGAGACGCGGTGGGGGTGATGGATCCTTTCCACTGTGACAGGCTCGACCAGAGGGGCTCCCCAAAGAGAGACTCCCCAAAGATATCATTATACAGCAGAACTAAATTACTGTGCACGGGGAACTTCTGTAACTTAATCATTGTACAGAAGAACGTCTTGATCGTACGGCAGGTCGGTTTGCTTTGGCTGTTCAACAAGCCATTACAGTTCGGGCAAATATAACTCATGAAGGCCAGCAGTGCAAAAGCAGCACCGCCAGATTAAAAGAATTATTGAAGGCCATGGTGTTCGAGGCCTGTCTAACCACGGGAGCGCCAGAGGACATGAAGGGAGCTGGGTAAGTCTAGCTTGTCCAGCAAAAGGCTTGCAAGAAACTAGAGCAAAAAAATCCATCTGTAATCACAAAACAAGCACTTGGCCTTGATGAGTCCCTACAACATTATTTTCACTGAAATTATTTTGACACCCCTGTGAAGAATTGTATAGGCTTCTCATAAAGCAGCGTTAACTACAGGGTATCAAACAGCTAAATGGCACAAGTTTAATCCTTAAAAAAAAAAGATAATCCTTTGAATTCTCTTTTCTTTTTCCCCATTAGATGTGTTAGCAGACACCATCCAATTTG